TGACTTAGGGCAGGGATGTCAAACTCAATTCATAGAGGGCCGCAGCCCTGCACAGTTTAGCTCCAACACACTTACCTGTGGGTTTCAAACAAGCCTAAAGCACTCAATTAGTTTGATCAGGTGTGTTTAATTAGGGTTGGAAATAAACTGTGCAGGGCTGCGGCCCTCTAGGAATTGAGTTTGACATCCCTGGCTTAAGCCTGGTTTATACTTGTGACCCACGGCGCATGCAACGCGTGTAGCCATGCTACTAATAAATATTATTTATTTATTTAATAATAAAAATCTACAATTTGTTCAGCATGGATGTACCTTTAACTCCCTGGTGCAGAAGAGCTGACACACTGAAGATGTAATTCCTGCAGATATCAGTCATGGGGGTTTTCACCACCGCCTGGCTGTTCTCCAAACAGCGGTAGCGCTGGAAATTTTCCCAGGCGCTGTTGGTCACCAAGTTTCCACCCTCTGTTCCGGAGCCAGAGAAAATATCTAGGTTTTTGCAGTGAGGCATGAGGACGATCTAAAGAATCCAAATAAATCAGAGTTGGAGGATTGAAAAGCAACTGAAAGTGTACATTTGATTAGGGAGAATTTAGAATAGGGAGCTTACCGAGTCGATGAGTGTGTATGGCGACTGCACATCACTGAGAGCCGAGTACAGAGACAGACTCAAGCGCACGGTGTAGTTCAAGCCCTCTTCAAAACACACAGGCCTGGGCAGCACCACATACCTGATGGGCAAAACCAGGAGAATTTACCTTCTCAGATTCAACACTCAAACACATTAGCCTCCAAAACCTAGTGAGCTGCCTTCTAAAAGCGCCACAGTTTAGCTGAGGTACATGGTCAAATCAGGAGCTGATAAAAGTCTGAGAGATTTCACAACAGGTTTGTCTTGCAGCTGACCAACAGAAATCATCGTGCTACAGTATTTTCAATAGATATGTTTTGACCTTGAAACTTTGCCAACGTTTTGCAGAAAAACTACCGCAGTATCCTAACTGGAGAAAGATCCCATAGTGTCAGATCAGCAACATCCTACTGTACATAAGAAGGAGCATAATACATACATGATTTGAATATGTTGCTAAGCTAAAAGTCTGATTCTCATGTAATTACAAGTATGACATACAGCCAGAAGTGCCACTAGTTGTTGCTAGATCAGATATGGATGTGGCCGGAAGTTAATGAGAATCATTCATACTATTTATCAAATTTCTCAGTTGAATTGTATTTTATTAACGTCTACCTCCAACCCTAAACCCAACCGTCACAGTAATGTAAAAACAGTTGTTGTACTGAGTATTATTTATGATGTCTAATAAGTTACCCAATAAATTGTATTTTTAACACCTACCCCCACCCCAACCCTAAACCCAACTGCCACAGAACTGTAAAAATATAAATTATTGTTATTCAGTTTCATAAAAAATGTTATTGTAATCAATGGGCATATCACACTTCCGGCCGGCCGCGGATCCGATCTTGACTTTATCAGCCAGACATGGGCCATCTGACAACCTTAATGAAGACCGGACCAAAGTGAAGTGCAGGGTTGTTTGGTTCAAGGGCCCCTAATAACATATCTGGGGGCCCCCAAAGTGCCCTTAGAATCAACCTAACTTCCCCCCTCCTAGCGGCTCTCCTGCATACAGCACACAAATTAGGCAAAATAGACATTTTGTGTTACATTTACATTGAACTATTTAGAAACTCTGTGTCACATAAAAAGACCCATCTGGCAATTGATTTGAATAGAGTTTTACATTAGCGTGTTGCTAAGCTAACAGATTGACGTTCTGAGTAGAAAATACATTGCATATATCACATATAAATATTATTGATTTAAATGGATAGTTTACCCAAAAACGACAATTTTCCCATACACAAGTACTTTTATATGAATTTCTTTAAACACAAAATAAGATTTTTTGAAGAATGTTGGAAACACGTCCGCTGCTTTCCAACACTCTTTCTAGATTTAGATTTTTACTTTTATATTTTAAATACAAAAATAAATACAGTTGAAATCATAATTAACCCCCCCACCCCTAAATTATTAGCCCCCCTGTTTATTTTTCTCTGCAATTACTTTTTAACTGATTTATGCCATGATGACAGTAAATAATATTTGACTAGATATTTTTCAAGACACTTCTATACAGCATAAAGTGACAAAGACTTAACTAGGTTAGCTAAGTTAGGGTAATTAGGCAAGTAATTGCATAATGATAGTTTGTTCTATAGACTATTGAAAAATATATAGCTTAAAGGGGCTAATAATTTTGACCTTAAAATGTTTTTTTTTAATGTAACTGCTTTTATTCTCACTAAAATAAAACAAATAGGACTTTCTTCAGAAGAAAAAAATATTATCAGACATACTGTGAAAATTTCCTTGCTCTGTTAAACATCATTTGGGAAATATTTAAAAAAGAAAAAAACATTCAAAGGATGGGCTAATAATTCTGACTGCAACTGTATATAATGTACACTTGTGTGGATTTGTAGCAGCAGTGCATTCCAACATTACATTCTTAATAGTACATAAGATGCTTCCCTTAAATTTGGTCAAAATGAGCATAATTGCTCACTATGATCTAAAACAGCGTAAAGTTTTCTATTGTCCACATAGTAGACTATTTATGTGAAACCATTTACTGTATTATTTCAATACAATTATTGTAATTTGTTTTATTATATATATATATATATACATATATAGGTTTGTTTTTATATGTATATACCATTAGTACATTTAGTGCTTTAACATATTTCAGTTTGCCAATGACAACATTTATATGTTTCCCTTATATTTGTGTAAAATGTATATTATATTTGTATATATTACATTATCTAAGACAACTTAAAATACTGCATGCTACAAAGCACACTAGTTAGGTCGCATTGCTGTTGTCTCCTGGGGACGGAAGGTGTTTATTTTTTTCTCCTCTCATACCTGGATCCAGGGTGCAGAGACACCATCTGGTTGTCATCATCCGGCATTGTGTTTGCACAGCGGCTGTCAGCAGTAATGACCCGAGGCCTGATGACAGTCATCAACACTTCTTCCCACTGCTCTGGCAGCTACAAACCATGAAAGAGCAAGAAGATGATGTAATTGTGTGATGTAACAGTACCGATTGACCCTTTAACTCAAGACCTGACAGCTGGCCTTAAGATAGTCATCGATTATATTTACTTGTCAAATGTTAATAATAATATTAAGGCCGCAATATACTACAAGCTGAATCAAAGAACAAACTTTTAGGCAGTTTTCCTCAAGTTTATCACTGCAAAGCTGCTTGTTTTGAAGCTATCGCTTGTATAGAGCTGATCTAACAGTCAAGTAGGTCGCTGGTTCGAGCCTCGGCTGGGTCAGTTGGAGTTTCTGTGTGGAGTTTGCATGGTCTCCCTGCCTCCGGTTTCCCCCACAGTCCAAAGACATGCGGTACAGGTGAATTGGGTAGGCTAAATTGTCCGTAGGGTAAGAGTTTGAATGACTGTGTATGGATGGGTTTCCCAGCAATGGGTTGCAGCTGAAAGGGCATCCGCTGTGTAAAACATGTACTGGATAAGTTGGTGGGTCATTCCGCTATGGCGACCCTGGATTAATAAAGGGACTAAGCCAAAAAGAAAATGAATTTGTCAACATCTAATTTTACCCACTTTCCAACATCTAATGCACAGTTTTGTTTGTGTAAATCTCTGCGTAAAAACAAGCTAAAATGTCTCCTGCATTTCTAGTTATTTACGCATATATTTGCATGTTATTAGTTTACAAAAATTGCATGTGATTCATGTTTTATTTGTAAATGTCATACTGTATCCTTTATTTTTTTAAATGAGTGTTTCTGGCTTGTAAACTAAATTGTTAAAATGTGTTAAATATGTTAGAGGTAATACAAATTTCTACACTTTATTCATTAATTTTCTTGTCGGCTTAGTCCCTTTATTAATCTGGGGTCGCCACAGTGGAATAAACCGCCAACTTATCCAGCACGTTTTTAAAGGCTGATTTATACTTCTGCGTCAAACGCCGGCGTATGCTACGGCGCTGACGCATAGCCCTTTGCCGTGGCCGTCAGCATCGCTGACGTGCACCTCTGAAAAAATGTAACTACACGTCGCAAGCTCTGTGATTGGTCAGCTTGGTAGCGCTGACGATTCTGGGCGGGACCGAGAGCCGCGTGAATGGTGCGAGCCTGATGGAGCGATTGTTTACAAGTGTGGAGTCCCGTGAAGGAGCTCCGGATGAAAAGTTTTGTTTTGTGTTTACCTCATAGTTAAAGTTGTTGCACGTCCGCCGGTTCCTGCCTCAAAATGAGCGAGTTTGAGCCACTTGTACATCCAGGAAGTGTTCAGGAAAACAAAACAGCAGCGAAGAAACTCGACACAGAGGAACATTTACACCTCACTGCCAACTAGCGTTTCGTAAGTGTTAATGCAGACCAACAGAGACAGCGCGCAGAAGTATAAATGCACAGCTACGCGCGTTGCATGTGCCGTGGGTTACGCCAGTCACTTTGACGCAGAAGTATAAATCAGGCTTAACACAGCGGATGCCATTCCAGCCACAACCCATCTCTGGGAAACATCCACACACACATTCACACACACTACGGACAATCTAGCCTACCCAATTCACCTGTACCGCATGTCTTTGGACTGTGGGGGAAACCGGAGCACCCAGAGGGAACCCACGCGAAAGCAGGGAGAACATGCAAACTCCACACAGAAACGCCAACTGAGCAGAGGATCGAACCAGCGACCTTCTTGCTGTGAGGCAACAGCACTACCTACTGCGCAACTGCTTCGCCCATTTATACACTTAAATATTAAAAGAATTTTTTTGTGCTTTCTTTTTACTGTTTTTACACCAGTGGGCCCAATTTTTTTTATCTCGGCTAGAGCCCCTCAACCCTACGGGCCGGCACTGGGTAAACGTGCACCCCAACAACCTGACATGGGTGAGAAAACAGGCAAACTAAATAGATTTGACAAATCTGTGTCACACAAAAATGTTATCGGAGCTTCATATGATTACATTTGAACCACTGAAGTGTACATTAAATGCTTTGACAATCATTTTAGTTTCTCCTCTGGACATTGAATGTCTCTGATCCATTGCTGTCTTTAAAGGACGAGACTCTCTGATCAAAAATATATTTAATTTTGTTCTGACGATAAAAGAAGGTCTTAGGGGATTAAAAAGATATGATTTTCTTCGAAGGGTGAACTAACATTTGAAACGCAATGAAATTGTAAAGAGAGTCACCTGAGGTTCATATCGAATGATGAGGTCATACTCCATAGAGTAGGGAATGTTGTCGATGCTGAATTCCAGAAAGGCTCCTTCAGGAACATTCACAAAACCAATGCCAGTCCAAGTAGGGGATCTGTCTTGAGGATGATTTCTCGGGACAACCGTCACACCCTGTGAAAAGCCAGAGAGATATTTCAGTCAGGCTTTCAAAGACTTAAGCAAACGGGAGTAACGAGGACTCTTACAGGCCCAAACTTGGCTTCCTCTGCTTCATAGG